AAAAAAAAAAAAAAAAAAAAAAAAAAAAAAAGCTCTAATGTTCTGGGCAGCATAAAGCCAGCCCTGTTCTGATTTCACATTGGGCCGATGCAGACCTGTCAGAATCCGCTCATCTGACCAGTTAAATGCTCCCTTGGTAAATCTGTTCCAATGTCTTATCCACCAGTCCCAGATTGTCCTGGATGCAGGGCAGGAGAGCCATAGGTGCCTGTTGTTTTCCCAAGGCCATCTACAGCGTGCGCAAACTGTGCAAACTGTCGAGATCTGCATACCTCTGTTAGCCAGGGACAGGGCCGAGGCAGCGGCTAGATATGTCTGTAGCCAAACTATACTGGCCAATTTCTGGGACGGCATGCACTTGAATTGTCTCCATAAGGATGATAGCTGGTCTTCCGAGATCATCAGCAAGTCTCCTTCCTTTCTTCTTCTCTTAGTCACCACCGCGACGGGAGATTTCTCCACAAGGTTCCGTTGAATTGCAACACCCACCTTGGCCTTATAATCCTCTAGTGTGACTCTTCTGAATTTTTGGTTGACCTCTCAGCCCACTGTCATAGGATCCACTGCTGCAGAAGCCAGGGGTTTCAACCCCATAGGAAGGGTCACCGTGGCCGACCATCTAGAACCACGAACACACCCGGACTTAGATAGCTTTAATTTTACCACAACTTCTTGCATCCCTTCCAAGGAATTCAGTCGAAGAGGGACTGACTTTTTAATTAGCTCCTTGGAAAATTCCACATCATCCGGAACCTGCCATTCTATAGCCTTCCAACCCTCCTCGCCCAGATCATCAGTTATCTGAAAGATGCTGTCCGACGCTGAGACGGGATCTTTGAGCCACAAAGGCCAGAAGGGGGGATATGAGAGTGAGTTAGCAAGTAGATCCAGGCTTGCGGGATTCTCATTTCTTCCCAATATGGACCGTTTGTTTCAAAATGATTTTGAAGATGGTACACTCGAATTGTATTGTTTAAGTGGACCATCGACTCGTTTACAAAAGATTTTAATTTCACAATTACTAAGTCATTGGTTACTCAAAATCATGGCTATTCTGTTGAGTTTTCCTGTTTTACAATTGCTATATCATTTTCAATATTCAACAGTCAACCCTGTTTGCTGGTGGGACCTCGCCC